TGGTTTCAGCACCACAACAATCCCCAAGATGCTGGTGAACATTCAAACACACAGCAAGTCTATCACCTATGCAGGCTGCCTAACTCAGGTGTCTTTTTTTTTCCTGTTTGGGTGTTTGGACAATCTGATCCTGGCTGTGATGGCCTATGACCGATTTGTGGCCATTTGTCACCCCCTGAACTATTCAGTCATCATGAACCCAAGCCTCTGTGGCTTGTTGGTCCTGATGTCATTTTTCGGCAGCGTTTTGGAATCTCAGATTCATTGTTTGATGGTGTCCCAACTCACCTTCTGCACAAATGTGGAAATTCATCATTTCTTTTGTGATGCACCTCAACTCTTCCACCTTGCCTGCTCTGATACCTCCATCCACACCATACTAATGTATTTTATCAGTGCCATCTTTGGTGGTGTTCCCCTCTCGGGGATCCTTTGTTCTTATACACGAATTATTTCCTCCATTCTGAGAGTCCCATCCACAGGTGGGAAGTACAAAGCCTTTTCTACCTGTAGCTCCCACTTGTTGGTTGTTTGCTTGTTTTATGGAACAGCCATTGGAGTGTACCTCAGTTCATCCATCTCCTCCTCCCTCAGGAAGGGTGCAGTGACCTCGGTGATGTACACTGTGGTCACTCCTATGCTGAACCCCTTCATCTACAGCCTGAGGAACAAGGACATCACGAGGGCACTATGGGGGACAATCAGCAGAACAGTCTAATATCAGCATTTGTGTTAATCTTTCTGGGTTCATAGAACTGGAACATGCAGGGAATCAACAACGTCAAGAAATTCTGAATCTGCAGCCACATGGTATATATACCTATATGGATCTCTGATTTTGCTTATACAACTATTCCTGTTAGCATAGCTCTAATGGAAATGGGGGATTATTTTGGACTCTCCACTTAAATCATAGTCGCTGCAGGATTATGTGTATATATGTACTCCTCTCACTTTCTTTATGCATTGCCCAGGATTCTTGGTCATGAGCAGTCTTGTTTCTATCATTGCAAAATAATCATAACTCTCCCTCTCTTGTTTTTTTCCTTTTTAAAAAGATATTTTACCTATTCATTTGAGAGAAACAGCCCAAGCAGGGGGAGAGGCAGAGGGAGATGCTGGCTCCCTGTTGAGGTGGGAGCGCATCATGGGGCTTGATCGTGACCTGAGCCGAAGGCAGAGTAAATATCTGAGACACCCAGGTGCCCCATCTTGTTATTTTCCTATGATTCTGCCCCACCCCCAGCGCCATTTGTTAGGAGGATCTAAACTCTACCTTAAGGTTCAAAACATCTAATACATTTCTGTGCCTTAATGATCTTGATCAGATTTTTTAAAAAATAGGCTTCACACCCAGCATGGAGTCCAACATGGGGCTTGAACTACGACCCTGAGATCAAGACCCAAGCCGAGATAAAGAATCAGATGCTCAACTGACTAGGCCTCCCGGAGTCACATCTTGATCATATTTCTGAGTGAATAGGATAACCATTGAATTTCCTTCTGAAGCTGAAATGAGACACTATTAATATTGAGTTTGAATAAACAGTTATCAAGTTTCCTGGAACTTCCCTAGGAAACCTGGGGTGTACAATTCCCAAGGAATAGATGGGAGAGAAACTACCAGAACAGAGGTGATCCTAATTTTCCTGATGATTGTCCTTCCTATTCCATCTAATTTCTCCTCAGTTACATTATATAACTAGACACAAAGGGATAAATACTGTATACTTCCACTTATATAAGAGGAGTATAGTAGTCAAATTCACAGAGTCAGAGAGTAGAATGGTGGGAGCCAGGAGCTGGGGTAGGGAAAAGGGGCATTAGTGTTTAATGGGACAGTTTCAGTTTGGGATGGTAAAAAAGTTCTAGAGATGGATGGTAGTGATGGTTGTGAATGTCCTTATTACTACTGATCTATACAGTTAAAAGTGGTTAAGGTGGTAAATTTTATGTTATCTTTCCACAATTAAAAACAATAACAGGGGCACCTAGGTGGCTCAGTGGGTTAAAGCCTCTGCCTTCGGCTCCAGTCATGATCCCAGGGTCCTGGGATCCAGCCCCACATTGGGCTCTCTGCTCAGATGGGAGCCTGCTTCACTTCTCTCTGCCTGCCTCTCTGTCTGCTTGTAATCTCTGTCTGTCAAATAAATAAATAAAATCTTAAAAACAACAACCACAATGACAACAAAGATCTCCTGTCAGAAATAAGGGACATGTTGGGGGAAATTGGAAGGGGAGGTGAACAATGAGAGACTATGTACTCTGAAAAACAATTTGAAGGGTTTGAAGAGGTGGGGGGGGTGGGAGGTTGGGGGAACCAGGTGATGGGTATTAGAGAGGGCACGGACTGCATGGAGCACTGGGTGTGGTACAAAAACAATGAATACTGTTATGCTGAAAATAAATTTAAAAAATGATTAAAAAAAAAAAAAGAAATAACGGACATGTTGCTTCAAATGTTGGGCGTTCCTCAACCCTCAGAATTCAACCCCTATAGGGATCTGTCTCAGCAAGGTCATGCCTCCTTCTTGAGGCAACCCACATCTGATAACTGTTTGATGTGGGTGTAAACATTTGTACCCTTTGCCCTAATTCCAGCCAACTTTAAGACATCATCTTACCTCCAGAGCTCCCTGCTCGTTTTCAGAGGTCTTTGATGGATGTCAGTTTGGCTTGACTTTTTCCAATGTAATTCCTTGTTGCAAAAAATTTGCCAACCACAAGATTGCCCTCCCCTCTCACACCAACCACAAGTTCAGGGGTCTCAAGGTCCACTCTCACATCAGACCAGTTGAATACAAATTTGGGAACTTTTTCACATTGGATAATTTGCTAGAATGATTCAAACTGAGAGGACTGCCTCAGATTTGATGATGAGCTAGAATAACTTATAGAACTCAAGAAGCAGCATACTATGATTGAAGTTTTATTACAGCAAAAAGATACAAATTAGATTCAGCCAAAGGAATGGTACTTTGGTACTTAAAGTGACATAATACAAGGTCTATGTGAAGACTTTTGTTGTCTTCTTTCCTTGGAGTTCAGACCCGTTACCTTTTCCTGGGATGATATCTGTGACAATACTCAAAGACTGTTACCAACCAGGTAGTTCATCTGAGTTGCAGTGTCCAAAATTTTTATTGAGGCTTTGCTACGTAGATATGATTAGTTGAAATATGGCCTATATGGCTGAGCTCAATTTCCAGCCTCCCTCCTAAGGCTGGGCTGATATCTCTTTCCCCAAAGCTCCAGCCTTTTCATCACATGGCTGGTCTCTTTGGCATGGACAACCCCCATCCTGAGCCATTTCATTAGCATAAACTATGAGTTGTGGTCTATGAGGCCCTCCATGAATAGTCAATCACTCCAGATCACTAGGAAATTTCAAGTGTTTAAAAGTTACCCCTGGGAGCTGGGACAAAGCCATATCTCTCTTTAGATGAGGCCAAATTCCTTACTACACATTTGCCCTTGCCCAGTTGTTGATTCCAGGAGCACTGCCTGGTAAACATCCTGTGTGCTAATCGTTGTCTAATTGTCTGCTTCACAAGGAACTCTGTGTGGGACACCTTGTTACTAATAACATTTATTTGAGAAAATTTAAAAGCAGTTCCAAGGTAGTTGAAATGGCCCATAATATTCTTTGAATTACAAACCCAACACTTAGTTCAGGAATGGGAAATTTCAAGGAAAGGAGAAGAGCAACGGGAGCATTCATTCATTCAGTGTCTCCCTGCGGCAGCAGGGAGGCACCCACTGAAAAGCTGAATGATTCTGGAAACCCAAACTCAGAGTTTTTTGGAAATGCACTCAATAAACACATGGAGAAAAGTTCAACCTTGCTAATAACCAAATAAATAATTTATCCATCAGTGTATATAGTCTCTTTGGACTTATAATGTGATCAGAGAAACTGAGATCCTGGATTTATGCTTTATGAGGGCAAAGATTTTTGTCTTCTTTTTTTCCCACTTCACTCCTGTGTTCCAGACACCTACTTCAGCCTGGCACACCAAAGGTGCTTAGTAAAGGAACTAGCAATAGTTACTGATAAAATGCACTACTTCATAATTCTTATGCAACTATTCTGATTTGGTACTTAAAGTGGCTGTTGGATTGGAAATCCAAGCTGAGGTGTAGTAATAGGAATGTAAAAGGAGGGGATGTGGAGAGTCGGAGTGAGGATAACAGAGCAGTCAACATAACAGGTTAAGGTACATCAGAAAAAGTACTTGCAAAGCAATTCTGAGCAAAGTCACTTATGAAGGATGGGTAAGAAGTAAAACTCAATGTCATCAAGAGGCAGGATTTCATTAGCCAAGGGCTGCTGTTCCTGTCAGTTCAACAACCCAGGACGAGCATTCACATCACTGAATGTAGATTGTTCTCCCCAAAACTTTTTGTAGAGCCTCCTTGAGGTCCCTGTTCCGTAGGCTGTAGATGAAGGGGTTCAGCATTGGGGTGACCACAGTGTACATCACTGAGGCAATCATGCCCCTCCAGGAAGATGCATCAGAACTGAGATACACACCAAGGCCTGTCCCATAGAATAAAGAAACCACAGACAGGTGAGATGCACAGGTAGAAAATGCCTTGTACTTCCCATTAGTTGATGGGATTCTCAGGATTGAGGAGGTGATTCGGGTATAGGAGAAAAGGATTCCAGAGAAGGGAATGATGCCAAGAAGGCTAGTTACTATATATAGCAGGATACGATTGACCAATGTGTCTGAGCAGGCAAGCGTGAGGACCTTAGCAAGTTCACAGTAAAAGTGTGGAATTACCCAGTTGGTGCAGAAGGAAAGCCGAAGTATCAACAGACTCTGGGTCAGGGAGTATGACAAGCTGATGAACCAGGACATGAGAACCAGGAGGCCACAGAGCTGTGGGTTCATGATGACTGGGTAGTGCAAGGGGTGGCAGATGGCCACAAACCGGTCATAGGCCATCACAGTGAGGAGAAAAGTGTCCATACCTCCAAAAACCATAAAGAAATACATCTGGGTGATGCAGCCTGCATAGGTGATGTATTTGCTCTGTGTTTGGAAGTTCATCAGCATCTTAGGGACCGTGGTGGAGATGAAACTTATGTCAGCAAAGGACAAGTTGGAGAGGAAGAAGTACATGGGGGTGTGGAGGTGGGAGTCACAGCTGATGGCCAGGATGATGAGCAGGTTGCCAAGCACGGTGACTAGGTACATGGACAAGAACAGACCAAAGAGAAGGGGTTGAGGCACTGAGTCTTGGGAAAATCCCAGGAGTAAAAATTCTGATGCACTTGTTTGATTTCTTGCTTCCATGTTGCCAACTCATCAGCTAGACGATATAAGTAGGGAGTGACCATGAAATAGACACTAGATAGACTCCAGAATATCTCTACTATTTTTATTTCTTGAAGGGAAGTGCTGTGCATAGTAGCCTTAACATTACAAAGTTTAGGAATCCTACATTCTGTTATTCATTACATGCAACATTTAATAATGTTGATCAACCCCTGTCCATTGGCCTCTGGGACACTCATTTATCCTATTTATCTAGAATCATCAAATCTAAAAAGTTAAGAACCATGTTAGACCTTAGCGATAAAATGGTCCAAATTCATTCTAAAACAAACGTGGAACATGAGGTCCGGTGAACCTCAGTAACTTAATCTGGATTGTCCAACTTGTCTGGAACCCTAAAAAGGGTCAGATAAATATGCCTCAGAGGTCAGAA